AAAAAAAATAGTGATAAACTATAAATTTTACAAGACTCCAACTCCTGTAACCATAGAAGTGTGAATAAGTTATTCAGAGAACATAACTCAAACCCTGTTTAGAAGACACTTGATATAAGTAATCATAATCTCGAGAATCAAATAGAAAATTCCCTTAAAAAAAAAAAGAAAAACCATATAGAAAACAAGGGAGAGTTAATCCAAGCATATGGCATCACCTATTTATGAAGTTCGCAATGGCTACCTTATTGCCACCTCCGTTGGGTATGTAAGTGCAGGGATAGGGCTTAGAAGGCTGGACAGGTCCCCTTGCCAGTGAGCCGCCTGTGCCACTCGGCCTTAATTTGCCCTTGGAAGGGCCCACAGGCTACAACTAACATTCAACCCTTGGTTGGTTATTAGGATAAGAAGCGGTAGTTCCCCGTTATTCCAATGTTTCTTCCGCGAACTTTCATTTCTGCCTAACTTTGAAAGAAATCATGGTTGGATTACACGGATGTCATCTTAATTTGTATCATTTATTGTAACCGGTAGCAATTCAAACGAACTTGCCTCAATCACACGGTTTGATTTGCAAATATGTTGGCATAATCGGCCGGGTTAGGAAATGATTTCATCAGTATATCGACGCATTATCGCCCAAAATTTTAATTTGTCAGCAACCAATGCTGCTCATAAAATATATATATATATATTAACAAGAGTTTTTTTTTTTAATAATTCAAACCACATTAAATTATAAAATAAAAATTATTACATAAAAAACAAATTTTAATATTAAAAAACTTGCCTCATCTATTATTTAAATTATATCATAAAATATAACCCTATAAACAAATGCTAAAGGTTTTTCCAAAGACCACAGGTGTGGATGGCACAATATTTCCTTTTTCATCGTTCTTTTAACTCAAAACCATCATCATTATTGCTGTGTTGGCGAAGATTGTTGGAAGAGTCTAACTCTTTAGACTTGATCAATTTTACCAATTCTAATCCATCTTTGAATACTTGATTGAACTATCAATTTTGATACCATTGCATCTGTGTGAGAGTATAAACATATATAAAACTAATGATTTGTTAGTTTAAATTAAAAAAGTTTGGTTTTTTTTAAATATCTTAAATTTAAATTTTGTGAATGGAGAAATAGATATTAAACGAGTTTTCTCTTATGAGATCCGATGCAACTGAATTCTAAATTAGTCAAGATTTAATGTGATTTATAAATGCTAAGAGGTTAATATTAAAAAAAATAAATACATATAAAAAGACATTATATTAAATTAAAAAAATATGTTTATT